CGGGTTTGCGGGCGAGCGGCGCAGCCGCGTCCCTGCGCGCGGGAGGTGGCTCCCAGCCTGCCAGCTCCGGGAGAGCGGCACCCTCCCTGCCAAGCGCAGACTGCAGCACCGTGTTTGCACGAGCGCAAAACAAACTTCAGAGGAGTTCCCTGCGAGGGATAATAGCAGCGCCTGGGCTGGTAATTGAAAATTATTTATTCATGACCAGATAAGAGTCAGTCACATTTTCTGCCAAATTTACCCATAATGTTTATGCCCCATTTTCAAGCTCTGTAAATTTTATGCTGAAGCCGATGCACTGTGGCACTAAAGCAGATAAGAGATGTTTTCTTCTGGCAGTGCTTGCTTCTCATTAACTTAAGGAGCACAGTAATGTCCTGAACAGCCATTTATTGCGGCTTTGCTGAGTGCTTCCTGGTCCTCCCCTTTTGATGCCCTGTGCCCAAGAGCAGCCGGGCACCCCTCTTCAGCTGGAGTGCTGTGCTCGGCTCCCGGCCCACTCGCCAACTCCAGATGGCTTCACTGCCAGCGAGATGGCCGAGCGGGGCAGGACCCCTCTTCTCTCACATCCCTTAAGGACCAGCCCATCTTTACGTCCCTGCCTGGAGACACAAAGCGTAAAGGCAGATCACAGCTCAGAGCTGCCTGCTTGGTGCTCTGGGCTGGGAGAGGACAAGCCACGGCACTGCTGCAGGAGACCTGCCTCCACCCGGGCTCTGCTCGGGCTCCTGGGGATTGCCCGTGGTGGGAGAAATTCTGCTTTTGACGCTGCTCTCGTGCCACACACCCCGGCTGGGACACGCCACGCTCAGAGCTCTGGGAAAGCTAATCTACGGTGTGTGTTTCTGAACTGCCACCAAATGATTCTGAAACTGATTGTAAAGCTTTGAAGGCAGCTAAATTGCACAATCCAGCCATTTCTATCCTTTATGTGCCTCTCGCTTTGTGAAAACATGAAAAAGGGAGGATGATTTGGACCATCAAGCCAGCTGAAATTGCAGACCATAAAAGCCGATGCTCTTTAAAGATTTCTTTCCCCCTGCAGCTCAGGAGCCCTTTAAAGCACTGTCACCCCCACAGGGCCGCAAAGCTGCTGCTGGTCCCGGTCACCTTATCTACACACAGCACCGCTAAGGGGGACTTACGGAGCTCACTCGGGAAGGAGGCAGAGCCTGCCCTGCGTCGGGCACTTTGCCACGCAGCCCTGCTGCCCGGCCCCAGGCTCTGCAGCCAGAGACACGCTCTGTGCTGCCCCAAAGCCTTTGCACAAGGGGCCTTGCAAGTAAGGTCACCAGCAGTAATGCTGTGACGTGCTCATGCCTGGAGCAGTGCTGTCCCACGTTAGTGTGGACAGCAGCAGGCAGCGACACTGCAAGGATCCAAGGGGACCGTGCGGTTGCATTAGATGAGGCTTGAATGCTGTGGAGTGGAGTAAACGGTAAAAGAGGGGTCTCATGCTGAAAGTTGGCAGCAGTGGGAAGTGACTAGGATTTTCCTCAGTCCCAGAAACATGTGCTCCTAAGCGAGCTCTCGGTACCCATCACCAAAGGGGAACGAGGACAGAGAGAGCAGGCAGGTTGCTGTGCGGGATGCTGGAGAAGCCAACAAAAAACAGAGAGAACGCAAAGAGAAAACAGAGAAGTGGATCTCCTGTGTGTCCAAATCCCAGCTTCCTACTGGGGCCCTGCTGTAAATGGGCACCACGAGGCACCTTCAAACCAAGCAATCCCACTGAGGCCTCCAGGGAAGAGCCCTCGCCTCTGCTCCCTCTACAGAAGTCCCATGGTCCACACGGGGCTGGTGCAGCTCAGGAGCAGCAGGGCCCTCCCACTGCCTCCTCTAGGAGCCTGCCTTTCCGGCAGTGCCCTCCTCCACCAGTGCCTCTGCAAACGGCCCCTTTCTCATGAGTGCTGGCCATGTGCCAAAGGACCCAGCCCAGCACGGGCAGGCTGAGAGCCAGGGAGCGAACGCAGGGCAGGGGCCGGTTGGGCTGGCTCAGCCCACAGCCCCTGGGCAGCACGCTGCCTGTCTCTGCCCGCGACAGGCGTTCGCAGGGTCCGTCCCACCGCCGAAAGCTCAGCCCAGGGCTGGCCGCCTGCACTGTGTTTGGGACAGAAACCAGTATCGCAGGAGGTAATTAAGGGATGACATGACAGGGAGCGTGTTGGGGGGAGATAACGCACGGCTTAGCAGCACGGCCACGTCAGGCAAAGACAAGTGCCTGTGGGGTCGAAGGGAACCCGTTATCTTAGAGAAACACGCACCTTGGAGTGCCTTCCTACCACTGAGCAGCCCAGAAGGTAAGCGAGTCAGGACTCTGAGCAGAGATTTACTGGCAGCCAAAAAGGGCTCTTCCTCATACTTCAAATGAATGTTCCACCGCTGAAATATGAAATATGAGCAAAGTCCCCATATATGATCCTGCTGGTTCAGCCCCTGCGCCTTGCCCTGAGCTGCAGGTTGGGCCAGACTTATCTGCCTCCCTGTCTGTGCTGGGGTGGGCGATCACGGCCGTTTGGGGAGAGCAGGCAGAGCTGTGCAGCTAGGACGCAGAGCGCAAAGCTGGCACTAGGTCCCCAGAGAGAGCTCTCCTCCAGGGAGCACTGTTTTTCTCCTGCAGACAGCAGGGCATTTGGAGAGCTAGGGAAGCCCATGAACAAAGGCTATTTTTGTACGCGCAGGGAAGGCAGATCTGTTTTGCCACAGAGATCTGTTGCTCCAGCTGCTTCCTCCCAGCCAGTGTGGGCTGGGACAGCCCTACCAGCATTTCAGTGCTAAGGCTTTTGAAACGGAGGGAGAGCACGCAGACAAAAGTTTCAGCTAAACCCAAACTTGACAGTTGTTGCTTCTAGAGAACGAGCCTACTGGGCTAAAAATAACCAGTGCTTCACAGCTTGAGCACACAGCCCCTTCTCCTGTGGTTGGCATGGCAACGCTAAAATATTCTGCAAGCACAAATGCTCACTGCTAAAATTTTACTTTTAGGAGCAAACCCAGTCACGAGAGGCAGAAGCTGCCTCCTGCTTGGGCAGGCTTTGCCCAAGGGTGCATCTGGGCACACGAGCATTTTGGCCAGAGCTTACAAGCTGTGCATGCTCATGCTTCAGGGGCCAAGGAAGGACCTCTGTTACCAGACCCCAGAAGCACCATCTACTGTGAGGGCTCCTGTTCCCTCTTCCCACCCCACGCTGTCCCCATGGTCTGCAGGCAGCTTTGCACTCATTGCATCAGAATGTCTAATCTTGGCAGTATGAACTGATCGTTGATATACATGTTGTCATTGGACAAGGCACAAATTATTCTTGTTACTGCACCGAGGCTCTGTCAGCCATTGCCCTGCATTGCCAGGGATGCCAGGGCCCCATCAAGCTGCAGGATGCTCCTGATACCACCCATAGCAGCTCTCAGCTTCTGGGATGCAGCCCCCGGGCTTTCAGGGACTGTCAACAACTCCCCATTTCAGAGCTTTCCCTTCTCTCTCTGGAGCGAATGTTGCAGGCAGAGAAAGGATGGGTGCGCACGCACGCAGGCAAGGCAAAGGCTTATGAGTAGCACAACAACAGGAGGTTTTGCCACCCTTCTGCTCCAAAAAGAGATGCTCACAATGCACTTGTTTGCAGGGTGGTGGCTGGGCTGCCTCAGGAGCACCTGCAGCCCGCAGTGGTGCCTGCAGCAGTGGCCTCCCCAGGAGACCTGCCTCTCTCTGGGTTTGAGCTGATTCACTTTATACTGCGATGCGTCCCCCATCCCTCTGTCCTGCCCCTACTGTTAGCTCCAGAAAAGAGAGGAAGCACACACTGTACCCTGGATTTCTCCTCCAGCCTGGTCATCATGACTATAGTTGCTGTTCTCTGTTCCCACACCATCCTCCAGAAGTCACTGAGGGTTTCTGGCAGTGGTCCCTGCGTAGCGATGTAGGCATTCTGCTTCCGATACCCGTCAATGTAATTGGCATTGATGTAATCACTCCCAGGTACCCCTGCAGAGAAAGAAGGTGAAGCGTTACTCCCGGGGCAGCACACAGCACCGCACTCACCCTGCTGCTGGGCCACGCGGGCCGGGGAAGACGCTGGTGTCTTCCCATGGCTCTTAACAAGTCTCTGGTACAGCGTGATGCCAGAATCTCTCCCAGGGACCCTGCACAAGGCAGGGACAGTGCCTGAACAAAGAAGAGCCCTTTGTATCTAGCACATTCAAGGAACAATCAGGCAGCATAAAAGCCGAGAGACAGCTGCCACCCGCGCACAAAGGGAAGTTCACAGGCGGGAATATTAAGGAGCTCGTTTGGCCCCAAGCAACTCATTGAAATAATTGTCTTAAATTCACCAGCTATTTGTTATGGTCCTCCAGCACCTTTTAAAAATGCTCTTGCTTCATTAGATTCATGCTCCTATCTGTGAGTAGAGGATGTTCGGCAAAGAATCTCCTCCCGCCCCTCCTGCAGGGCAAAGTACCCCATGGGGAGCCTGAGACCTTCCTCCCACCAGCACCAAAACCCTCCTCAGTGTAAGACCTCCCTCTGCTGCCTGCTGGCAGAGGCTGCTCCAGCTCCCATCCTGCACACACCACCTTATGGAAAGGACTGTCTTGTAAAGGCCTTTAAAATGCAAACACACAGTTACTTAAATACATGCAGCAAAACGCTGGCCGGAGGCTGAGTTTGCAAACTCCGCTCAGCATGGGCTGCTCGGGCAGCTCAGTGTCCAGGCTGCGGGGATGAAAAGCAGCAGGAAGTCTCCTTGTCTCCCAAGGAGAGCACATCTGCATTTCATTAGCAGAAGGAAATAAAGTTGAGGGTTTCCCCCTCGCCCTTTTGTCCTGTGGAATTTTTGACAGGTCCCAGCAGTCTTTAGCTGAAACAAAGTGCTGGCAGCTCTGGGGGAGGCCACACCAGCTGGAGTGCAGCGCCTGGCTCTCGTGGCATGGGCGTGAGGCATCTGGCAGGGTGCTTTGGGAACGGTTCCCAGGAAGACACAGACACTACTTACAGCAACTGAGTCACGCTGGAGGACAGGGATTCCCCCACGTGCTCACCCCACAGCTGTCTGCCGGGGTTTGCCCATGATCGGCCATGCCAGGCCTTCATGTAGCTGCTGCTGCCAGCAGCCCTGCTGCCAGGCACCAGCCAGATCCCCTCCTCCTCCCCCAGCGGATGAGTGGTGCATTAGCATTAGAAAAGACACTTTATCCCAAGAAAAAGGGCATCGGGACTGCAGGACCACCTGCATGCAAAGCCAAGCCCTGGTCTTTGCCCAAGCAGGAGAGCATTCAATTAGCTGCATCTTCCTTATGCTGCCCGCGAGCAGCTCTGTGCTGGCGCTGGAGACGGGCTACTTATAAAATAGACAGGAATGGGTGCCTGTGCGTGCCTGGGCTCCCGTAGCTGCACTCCAGCTCCCTCTGTGTGCAAGGGGACTATGAAGCAGGCACTAAAAGCAGGCGCTAGTCCAGATCCCAGAGCTTACAGCCCCCTTTGCAAGTGTGGCACTGGTTTTCGGAGCCACGGGAGTCAGTTCTCTGAATATCAGGGCCCCACGCACCTCCTCTGGGGCACTAAGATGCGAGGGGGCCTGATGTCCTAGGAGAAGCCCCCCCCGCAATCCTGCCCTTACTGGGGGACAAACAGCAGCCTGTCCCAGGGGAAGATGCTGGCCCTGCAGCCAGGCTGGGACAGAGAGGAGCAGAGGAAGGCAGCTGAAGTCACGCAGAGGGAGCAGCAGCGAGCAGGGAAATTTTTTTTCCCAGCTGGCACCAGCAGTGGCAGGGAGCAGCCAGGCCTGGGCACAGCGCTCTGAGGGCACTGGGAACACAGGGGCAGCTCTAGAGAGCCCTTCCTGAATCTTCTGCTGCCAACCAGAAACATGCATTTGCTGGAGCTGATACCTAGATGTGTTTCTTGGTGTTTTCTCCTACTTGGTGGAAAATAGGGAAATATATGGTCTCCTGCCACAGTTGGATTCAACCATTTCCTGGGGTGGGGGACCACATGCGCACTCGCCTCCCACATCACGCGGGAATGCCTTTTCATAGTGGTCAAAAGGGCACACACTTGCCCGCCACGTACAAAAAGATCCTTGCCCAGCTGTCCTCCACGTCACCCAAAGGTGATGGTGTGCCTACCCTGGAGTCCTCTCTTACCATCGATGGAGGTCAGGATGACACGCGAGTGGTCATACGCAATCACGTTTGCATAGCGGTTTTTTGGTTTATTCACTTCCAGGTTGGAGTTCTCCCAGGTGAACTGCTGTCCTGGATCTATGGACTGTGGAGAGAGAGAGGGAAGGAGGCAGGAGCGGTTACGGCACAGCGGGACGCTGCAGGATTCGTCATTGCACCAAGGGCATTTGCATTCCCACATCCCCCTCCCCTGGCCAGATGCAGCTTGCTTGGGTGTCCTCTGAGGCTGTGTCAAGCTAGACCACACTAAAGCCCAGTTCCCAAACAGCAGCGGGACCCGTCTCCCTCTGACCTGTAGGCCAAGGCAGCCTCTCACTGCGGCAAGCAGCTGCAGAGGCAGCTCTATCTCCACTCTCGCTCTGTGCTCATCCTTTCCTCTGGAGCTACCCACCAGCAGAAATTTGGTTGCATGCCAAGACTCCACGGGGACCTGACCGTGCAGTTCTTGACCTAGCGGTTTTATTAGTTGTTGAACTGCAGTCTCCTGAAATATAGCAAGCCCTGGGTGTCTTGTGCCCCAGGAGCTTTGGGTATTAGTGTCCTGTAAGAGAGCCTATGAGCTTCTGCTGGGGAACAGCCATGAAAATTGATAGGTTACTATCTGCTGCTCCAGCTACTTATGCAATGTAAACATCTCTCGTCTGAATTAATAGAGTGACAAAGAACTATAAACCTGGAGAAGAGATGTGGTTATAAATCTTGACCTAAGGCCCACGTGCTATGCCACGGCCTGAAAAGCATACATCATGATCCTGCCTGCAATGCTAGCCTTGCGCAGGCGGTATTTCCTCCTACGGGCTATGTGCCTGGTGGCCCAGCACAGCCGTGCAAACCTCTGCGCATCCAGCCCTGCTCTCCTCCATGGCCATGCAGCCCCTTCCCAAAGCCCTTCCTGTTGTCTTTGTTGGTGCATAAGAAAAGGGGAAAAAGGACCATAACAAAAGCATTCCTCTGAGATGGGATGGCCTCATTGGCTCAGAGATGTGTGTGTGTGTGTGAGAGAGATCGAAGAGGCACCCAGATAAAACAGCTGCCTCATGCAGGGACTTGCTCTACATACGCAGCCCTGGGCAGGCCCAGGGCAGGCCAGGAATCAGTCATCCCATGCACACTCTCCCGACATTTCCAAGACAGTCAAAGTCTTCTTAAAACCATGCTCCGACTCAGAGTCCCTGAAGCTTTGCTGGCCCACGGGTAAAAGTATTGAGCAAACAGGCCAGGGGAAGCACTGCACATTATTCTCTCTGCAGGACCAGCGTTCATGTCGCTTGGTGCAGAGCCAGCTCAGAAGGTTTCTCAGGCAATAAAACGCCTGTGAGTCAGTCTGCTGTGGCTCAGCCGTGGGCACCAGGCAGAGCTGGGAAGCATAGCCCCATCAAGCACCCCACCGCCCATGCACACGGGGACACCCGTCGCTGGCTCCTGTGCTCTCCCACGCCGTCAGGCAGGCACTTTCCAACACCCGGCAGCGGGTTGTGGCACCCAGCTCGGATGCGGAGCACAGGCACTGCCTGTGTCCCCGCCACAGCACCGTGGTCCTTGCTGCACGCACAGGGCACACGCCGTGCCCACGCGGCCCACGTCGCTGGCTGCCCGCAGGCGGAGAAGCCAACGCTGACGGAAACGCACAGGAGGATGTGACATCACAGCGACGCTAATAGGTAGTTTGGGAAATGTAGGATGTCTATTTACATTTCCCACAGAAAACCCACAATTTTCTATTATCAGAGTAATAAGCAGGCAGCAGCAGCACTCGGAGGCGCTGCGGCAGGGAGGGCGGGAGCGGCGAATGCCAGAAATGCTCCTGGCTGGAAACCTGCCAGCCGGGCTACCGTGGCCCCTGCACGCCCCTCTGCCCACGCACCGCGGTGTCCCAGGGCAGCTCACGGCTCTCCGGGACACTTTGTTTTATTCAGCTTTGCACAATAGGGCGTTCACTGAAGTAACCTTTTACGTGTTGTCCTCCCTTGGCTGTGGACTGTGTGGCAGGGACACGTGCCACCCACCTCACGGCAGGGTTTGCCAGCTGAACTGGAGAAGGGCAACAGAAATGACCAAAGGCATGAAAAAGTCTTTATAAGAGGAACAAAATGTGTAAGGATGTTTCTGAAGGGGAATTTTATCCTGGGCTAGTCAATCCTGAGTGCCCCGGAGAAGACCCACGTGGAACGGGTGTTTGCTGTTTCTCGTGAGACTATTATTAACAGGCAGCAAATGAAAGTGTCCCACTGGACGTCCAAAACAAACAAAAGGAGCTGCTTCCTGGAAAAACACATAATTAAGCTGTGGAAGTCCTGGCCTCATAACACTGTGGATGCAGCAGGTCTGTGCAGGTTCAGCAACTAGACAAACTAATGGGGAAAATCCATCAAGGCCTGCTAAAGACAAAAATAACACTTCTTCCTCAACAAGGTGGCCTAAGCCTGCACAGACAGCTGGCGCAGGGAGCCAGCTAGCTGGCTGTGGAGCTGGGAGGCTGGCCCTGAAGGGGCGAGCCACCTTCTTCTTGCTGCTGAGGAGCACCACAAGGAAGCACCATCCCTGCCTGCACCAAACGCCTGCTCCGCACCAGGCGCAGGTGGATGCCGGCGTCCTCCCTCCGCAGTGGAGGCAGGGGCTGCTCAGGACTGACGCTCAACCTACGCTGCAAATCACTGCTGAAAGGCTCCCTGGGCAGCGGGGTGCGCTGCGCTTTGCACAGGAAGTTGGTGTCCTGCCACGGCAGTGAAAGGGCTACTTCCTGGGGGACATGAGGCTGCAAAGAGCCCCCAGAACTGAGGAGCGGCATCAAGGTGTTGCCATTAGGGTTAATTGCTTTGATGTGAAACGACGATGTGCAAAAATGGTCTAATCATCATCAGCCTCTTAAGAGGGCAAACAGGTGAGAAAGTCAGAAGTAATACAGCACCTGAGTGCAAAGAGGCTCTAATTAAATACTCCTGCAAATTAGTGACTCATTTAGAAGTAAAATGATTTAATTTAAACTCTAGTGATGAATTAATGTACACCTGTTCCCCCCTTTAAGGCAAACAAATGAGTAAATAAATGGGAGGATGACGGGCTGCCTGGAAAGCAGTTGAAGCCTATTACATGGAGTGGTTACTGGCAAGTCTTGTCCCATCTCTGTAGGATGCTCTGCCACCCCAGCTGACAGCAGCAATGCTTTGCTCCCTCCCTTGCTCCACAACTGCTGGGCACTGGGAGTCTCCCCTTGTTCATCTCCAAGACTCAAGGGAACCACCACTTCATCCCAAAACTTCATGAGAGTAACGTTTTCAACTCACCCTTCCTAGAAAGCAGGAGGGCTGGGAAACGGGAAAGAAATGAGCCAGGAACAAAACTAAAAAGCACCGTAACTTTTGGGTTTGCCTTGCTTTACAGTGATGGGGAAGATGCTGTAAGACAGCAACTGCAAACTTAGTAAAAGCCCCATTAGTAAAACTCCTCCTTCCCAGTGTGGAAGTGCAAGCAGCAATCTCTCTCTAGTAGCTTAGGGATCCCTGCTGCTACTGCCATCAACATAAAGACAGAGCCAGACCACTGAAACAGGACTGGAAAAGGCTCTTTAGTAGACTCCAGAGCACTTTACAAGTGCTTTGGAAACATCCCTGGGTGCCAATTTGCTTCTTGGACACTTGCTGTCCCCCTCTCCCTTAATGCAGCTCCAAAGACCCCTGGAGCAGATACCCTGCAGCTCGCAGGCCAGGGCAGAGCCACGGCTCAGCCGGCCTCAGCAGCTGGGCAGCCTGGGGGGTGGCTCCGCGCCGCTCAGCAGCCCAGGCTGCTGCCCAAGGGCACGGCGAGGGCAAGGTGTGTGGACGGTCAGTGCTTCCCAGCCTCCTGTGAAATCAGCCATATTAGCATAGGCATTGACCACCGTCAATCTGCGCTACGTCTCCAACGAGGACATAACGCGCTCCTGAATCAATCGCTGGCAGCGCTTCAGTCTTATTATTCTTATTACTGGAACGTGAGTGCTGCATGCCTGCCAGACAACTTCTCGACTGGCCCATTAAACCCAGAGTACGTGGCTCCCCAGATGCTATCCGGACCCCCTGGTGCAGCACTGCTGGGGCTCGCCCAGGTGGCCACAGGGGCTAGTTGCTCCTTGCCAGGGCTGCAGGCGCAGGAGATGCGATGTCCCCAGGGGGCTGAGGGGAAAGGCAAGCCAACGGGGCTTTAGGCAGGCCAGCAGTGTTTCCCTCCAGCTGCGTGCAAAACTGTGGGGAAGGGGATGCAGCCTCCGAGGACGCGCAGCTGCACTGGGAAGCAGCAGCACGCTCAGACGTGCAGCCTAAAGAGTGGTGAGGCTACGTGCAAGGAAGCAGCCCAGAGATCACCATGCCCTGGGAGGAGCAGAAACCCAGTTGCGCTCAGCTGCCCACTGGGGTGAGGTGCAGCAGGCACCTGCGGGGGCAGAGGTGCCCTGCCTGGCACCTAGACTCCTCCACCCCACTCTGCTCCCAGGGGCCGGCAGCTGGAGGAACATGCCTGTGGGATGAAGCACGAGGGGCAACAGCCACAGGCTGCAGCTTGGGCGGTTCAAGCTGGACATAAGGAAAAACTCTGCCCTGGAAAGGTGGTGCAGGATCCAGCCCAGAAACGGCAGCAGCCACAATCTAGCAGGAACCAGCCCTGGTTGCACCGAGCCTGCGCGTGTTTGCTAACAGGAACAGAGGGGACAGCAGCACTTGGCTGCCTGGATCCCATGGGCAGAGCAAGAGACACAGCGCAGGCGTACACGCTGCTTCGAACAAGCACAGGCGCCCCTCGACCAAGGGCAGGATCCTGCCCCGCGCCAGCGGGCTGCAGCGTGGGAAGGTGGCCCACAGGAGGAGCTCCAACATCGCCTCAGTACTCGCCACACAGCGCAGATAAATAATTAAGGGGCTCAGCCTCCCCTCTACTTATTTAATTCCATTAATCCCACACTGTAAATTCACTGTGGCTCTCACTGTACACTAAAAATGAAATACTCTCCTGGTGCAGCCAGGTCAGGAGCAGCTGCCAGGCCCTTGCACTCTGCTCCCGCCCGCTCTGCTGCGCGCTCGGGAAAGCGCGCTCGCCTTGTGCTGTGCCAGCCCCTGCCTGCCCCTCGCCAGAGAGGCCGGGAGCAGAGGAAGCCCTGCCTGCAGCCAGCTCTGCTCCCAGCACCTGCAGTTCAGCCTCTCCCGTCCTGCCAAGGTCCCGCTGGCACGGCAAGTTCCTGTTGCTGGGCTCGGGAGCCTGCTCGCGCTGCGGCTGGCACACCGCTCGCTCCGCGCTGGCTTTGTCGCACCGGCTGCTTGGCCACGAGGGCTGGCAAACAGGCGCGAGCAATATTATTTGTTCTCTGACCTGCGGGAATGGAGGCCAGCTTGCTCCGAGAAATCTCTGCCGTCCTCTCTGCTCCTTTCCCAGGTGCCTGAGGAGGTGCTGACAGGTCTTGTTTTCTGTAACCTGTGTCTAGGTTACCGCGCTATCGCTGACACAACCAAGACAAGCGCCAGACTGATGGCTCTGGGCAGCTGGCCTCACTGGTTAAAGTGCTGTTAAATATTTGCTTTCTGTCTGGGGTGCCTACTGCTCCTGGGACGTGAGCCATCTATAAACAGCCCTGCGTCCCGCTGAGACATTAGGCTGCCAGGCTGCTGTGCGAAAACACTTAAAATGCAACTCTTCCAAAGCATAACCACACAGCAAATGGGCCTTGGGAGTTCATCTGTGCTATCTTCCCCTCTTCCTTTGGCTTTCCGCGCTCAGTTGTGCTGCGCGCCTGGGCAGGGCAGCACAATTGGGCCTCAAGCTCCAGAGGGAAACAGGGTCAGGACCTCTGTCTGCTGAAGTGCTGGGCCACCGCCTGGCTCTGCGTAGCTGCTGGGCTCGCTCGGTCCTGGGGGATCGTTGCGGCTGCACCATCGCACAGCGATTGCAATTGCACAGGAGGGAGCTGTGGTTTCTCGCCCTGCTCCGTGCGGGAAGCACCCGCTGGTGCAGGCTGTGCTGCACAGCACCCTCCCTCCCACCTCCGCCGTTTCCGCACCCACTCCGCAAATTCCCTTACTCAGCCACCCTGCAGTTCCCCCAAAGGGAGCTGTCATCCTGTCAAACCTGCACATACGGGGACCAGCATGAGCCTGGACCCATCTCACCAGACATGACTATACTGGTCCCCACATGCCAACAAGGGACATCCCTTCCTGCTTTGGGGCACATCCTAGTGTCAAACACCTTATGAGCCTGTCATGTTCAGTAATTTCAAGTTGATGAGGAGTCACACACAGCAGAATCCAGGGGAAAAAAATTACATGCAACAATCAGCTACTTAATAGCTGCTTCAACATGAAAAGTACAACTGATTGGTGCTCTCAACCAGCCATGATACTCTAAAGAAAGAGAAATGGGAAAAGAGCAGCTCATGAAAACAGCTAAGAGAATTTACTTAAAGTCCATTTTTCTGAAACAGTTCCCCAGCTCAGTACTGTGTTGCAGGCTCCAAATGGCGCAGGCCTAGTGCGAGGATGGGAGTGCACAGACACGCGATCCTGCTGCATCCCCACCGCACAGCAGAGGCAGAATCTGCCTGTAGCACAGCTGACAGCCTTGCTTTACATTTCAGCTGGACTCGCAACAAAAAGCCCAAGGCAGATAGATAAGGCTGCATACCTTGGCATCACCCTTGCAGGACATACATGAACACACAGGTAACTGCAAGGGAAGCACAATATTCCTCTAACTGTTTCCCGAGCTGCAAAATAATGCTCTAGCTGGTGAAAGCTCAGCTCTTCCCTGGTCTAGACAGCAGTATGGGGAGGGACAGGAAAGCCCTCCACTTGGCATCTTTAAACAAACAGGAGCTCGGTGCCTTCCTTAGATACAACACACCCTTTGAACTAGCTGGAATTTGTCCCTGACCTTCTCAACGCAGGGATCTGCTTTCCCTTTCCTCGCATATATAATCTTACCTTGTGGGTACATGTTCTGATCTCATCTCATAAATCAGTGTAGGTATGCGGCAGGAAGGGGAGGCCACAGGCACAAACAGATAACCATTCCAACAGAAGTGATAACACATGCAAAGGACACTTCCCCAATTTATTCCCTCTTTAATACTAGTGAGGGGTTTATTTCTAAGTCCCCTGCAGCTCAAGGGGGTCCTGCATGTAAGCACAGGAAAACATAATATCCTGCCACCGCAGCTCTAATGGCTGCAGAGGAAATTTGCCCAACCTCACAAGTCTTCAACCTAGTCACCCAGCATGCAGAGCGGTGAGAAAGGAAGCGCAGCGCCTGTGCGAGCGCCCTTGGGCAAGTCAGCGCCCTTCCCCTCACGTTCAGCCCCCCTTGGCAATTGAAGGGGCAGGGCTGGAAGCGGCGCAGTGCAGCATGGGGGGTACTACAGGCACAGCACCTGCCTGTGCGCGTGAGCCAAGACAGGATGCTGGCAGTGCTGACAGCACATCCAGGGGCGCCACTAAAAACAAGGAGGGAGAGCGTTTCAGCAGCAGAGGGGAGTTTGCAGCTCAGGACTGCAGGGTCTGGGCAGGGGAGGAGAGCCTGGGACCGCGAGCCAGGGCAGCAGGACATTAGCAGAGGTATTTTGCCTTTCCTGGCAGCCGACGCGCTGAACGGCACAGGCTAACGCCAGCGTAGTCCAGCGGTGTGCGAGGGGGAGAGGAGCTGCGGAGAGCAGGAAAGAAAACATGAACGTGTGCTTGCCTGCAAGGGTGGACGGCTGAGAGAGAGGAGTAGCAAAGCTCTGAGCTTGAATGGGGAGGGAACCGAAGGAGCACGGGGTGCCACGGGCAGCACCGAAATCCCTCAGCCAGCCTGCGCGGAGGGCAGCCCTCGCGGAGCAAGCAGGACAACCTAAACAGCCACAAGCCAGGCGGGTAGACGTAGGCTCCCGTTCGCTCCCAAGACCGTAACCACGGCAGGAGCACGGCAGGCTGGAGCACGATCAGCTGCAAGGCCTTTTTCCCTGTACAAACCATGTGTCGACTGCTTAAGGCGAGTTCCCACCGCTCCGGGCCTGGCAGGGAGAGCTGGCAGGCGCCCAGGCCTGGCTCGGGGCCCGGCCAGGCGATGCTGGTGCGGGGGAGGCATTGCTCAGCTTTCAAGCCCGCTCCGCTGGGGGTCCGACCGAAACCCTGGCCAGCATGGCTCTGCGCCCTCCCGCCAGGCACGCTCTCGCGCTCACCTCGTACTCCTGGGAGAACTTCAGCCCGTCGTTGGCCTTCAGCCTGTCGATGTTGTCGGCGAGGTCGGTCACCGGGATAGGGGGGTGATCGCGCATGCCTGCCAGGTGAGACAAGGGGGGGAAGAGGGAGAGGGGGAGGGAAACGGTTACAGCTCTGCACGCCCGGGGAAGGCTCGACAACAGCATGTGCACGGCAAACCCGAAAGGTGGGTGCAAGGCGGACATGTGTGACTACGTGAAGCGCCGGGCGGGATGGATGGGAAGTCGGCGAGATCACATGGCATGCTGCACGCACTCTCAGAGCACACGGTTCGGTGAAACAAAAAGAAAGGTGATGCGCGAATGTGCATGACCGGGTGAGCATGCTCGGACAGTACAGCAACCGGGCACACAGCAGGCCACACAGTGGGCAGGCGCTCGGGGCCGAGGAGATGTTGTCAATGTGCTTGCCGGGGCTCCCACACAGGCTGAAGTTGAACACATCGACTTTCTAGTGCTCTCTCCCCCAGGGGCTGAGGCTGATCCTCTGACCTGTCCCTAACAACCACGTTAGCCAAAAAGAAATTCCCTGAGGCCTGGGCCAAGGAAGCCTCTGTGGCACAGGTAGTTTTTTGGGTAGGCAGGAACTGCGCCCCTGTCTCCTTAGGGGGGAGGAGGGGGCTGCAGAAAGATGGGAAGGGTCCCAGGGAGGAACGGCTGCTCCCCAGGTCGGAAATCGTCCGACGTTCCCAGAGCTGAGGAACAGCTGTGCCCACAGCGGCGTAACTCAGCAGTTCTCAGCAGCGCTTAGGAGAAAGGGCCAGCTCTGGGGTCCAAGAACCCAGCTCCACTGGGCTGGCTAGTGTGAGCCACCACGCAGAGTGACATGCCCTACGTCAGCTCCTGGGAGAGCTGGTGGGAGCTGGGATGCAGTTGAAGCCATGGCAGAAGCCTTGCCCTGTCTAACGCGGGACGCATGGTCAGGCCTCGCTGGGAGGCTTAGACTGGGCACGGCAGGAGCCCTGCTCCAGTGCAGGGCCCGGAGGAGGGGATCCCCCAGATCCCATGTGGGGACACGGTACTGCAAGAGGGCGCACGCGAGACCAGGAGGGAGTCCTGCTGGGATCTCAGCCCTGGGATTCAAGGCTGAAATGTCGCAACCCCTTTTCCTGAAGATGGTGAATTGGCAGGAACATGGCTGTGAGACATCTCATCCAAAGCCTGGCTCATCCAAAGCCCCAGGCTTGTGGCTCCATCGGCTGTTTTGTGGGTTTCCCAGAAACCCCATGTGGGTAATAATGATTATTAATAGGCTGGAGCAGTTGATTCGCACCCAGGGAGACAAGCTGGAGCATGGCCAGGCACTTCTCAATTGCTCAGGAGCCTGAACACTGCCACAGATGGCAGTGACGGGCCGCCGAGGTGATGGAGCAGTCCCCAGGCTGGGTATGTGCATTTTACACAGCGGTGACAAGTCATTAGGTGATAACATGGAAGTGTCACTGCACATTACACCGCAGCCGCTGCACAGCAGGGCTCCTAACACCTCTGCCAAAAGCACCTGCCATCGCTGCATAAAGGCCAGACCGGATCCAACACACACCTCATCCTTCTACCACTTGACAGGACAGAGCTATCCACTGACTGCTTGAGAGCACAGGGACAGACGGGGCGGGAAAGACCCCTTTTCTGCCTTGTGCTAGGATCTTCCTGCTAATGATCCCCTGTTTGCCACCTCACTCATCAGGATCCCAGGGGTGGCTGGGCAGGCCCACAGAGATTTCTGCATGCTTTGCTCATCGGTGCCAGGGCTCCAGAGGCTGCAGCTCAGGAGCAGCCTTCGCAATGCAGAGCCGTTACCAATGAGCAGTTAAACTGGGGAGAACAGTGTGGGGCCAAGGTAGAAATGTGGGGCTGGGAGAAGGAAAAGGCTGCAATAAAACCACAATATGTGATTTATTTGCATACCGATGTGGTCAGTTATGAAGCACTAAGAGCCATGGACCACAGCAGATACGCATCTCTACCGAGAAATGCAAGGCGCTCCCCCCAAAATTCAGTTTTGCTCATCAAGGGAGCGCTGCAGCACCAAAGGAGCTGCAAGAGCAGAAGAGGAGGAGAGGGAGAATGAGGCAGTTGACATCCCGGTCCGGTGAACCTGGAACAGCAGCCACAAACAGTGCGGGGCAAGACAAAGGGGAGCTGTGTGCACTACCAGGTCTTCCACAGGCTTTTCCAGCAACTCTGGCAAGAGGAGAGCGAGCTCTCCACCAGGCCGGGAGGGCTCAGAGGCCTCAGGCATGCCGCAGGACTGCAGACTGCAAAGCCCTTGGCTCTGCCCTGGGGACAAAAGCATCTGTCCTACCTACCTCCCGCACTCCTGCGTGCACACACACAGACCCCTTGTACATAGAGAAGCAGGGAGGACATGCTTTTATGGTTGTCTGAGAGCGAACTTGAAGCTCACAATACAAAGAAGAGTCCTGCTAATACTCCGGCCAAGGCCAGCATCCCCTCTCCCAAACTCGCAGAGGCGACCCAACCTCCGTGGGAAGCTGGTCTGCCTGAGGTAGAGAGTGTTCAACCACTGGGTCACAGAGCACCCTTCAATTTGTGCAGGAGGGCTTTTAGTTGGCCCTCCGCCTCCAGGACAGCCAAGGTTATCTGCCCCCACGCTGGGCCAGCTGCAGGCCTGTGCCACGGCAGGGCCCGGCATGCAGCTGCGAGGCAGGCAGGAGGCTGCCTCTTCCTTTAGCACTGTGCTGCCCTGAACTGCTGTCGTGCCGTGCAAACAGTACCCGAGCTTGGCCTGTGTGGGGCCCACACGTCATGTCAGAAAGTGAAATCACTGCTGTTCTAGACTGCTGTGAGTGAGGGTGACCTTCATGACATCGAAACAAAAATTACAGAGACGAGAGAGAAAGGGAGAGAGAAAGAAAAAGCAAAAAGTGTCAAAGATAAATACAGGAGTTAAAACTAACTTGAGATATTCGGGCAACTGGGGACACTGGAACCTGCAAAGAAAAGAAACGGGGCAAGAACAGAAATCCCATTAGCCTTTAGTCATCATCGCAGAGCTTCAGAAATGGAAAGACAGAGAGATGAAGATGCAAAGGAAAGCACCATCTGCCACATCTCCCTCCTGCGCAGGACTGGCTGCCTGGCCCCAGGGTGCGCTCTGCAGCTGGCCGTTACGCAGCGGGCTTTCAGCTCTGGCCAGCGCCTTCCCCTGACGCTGACAAACAAGCGGAGATGGAGCTACGAGCGGGGAAGTGAATGAATCGTCCTTCGCCTCTGACGCCAAGCGCTATCGCTGCTTGCTGCTACCCATAGCCCCTGCTCGAAAGGAAGCCAGCAAGGGCGTGCGGATGGCAGGTACCGGGGAAAACTGCACTGCTTCGTGGCCAGGAAGACTGTACCCAGCCCCAGCATCCTCTACGTAGTGCCTAGAGCCTCTTGCTTGCTTGCAGTGCACGAGCAGAGCAATTCAGCCTTGCTTCCCGGTGTAGGCGGACGCTGCCCAGTCACTGGCCCTCTCACCGGCTTGGCAAAGCTGTACATCAGCACAGAGAGGCTGACAGTGGGGGAAACAACCCCTCTCTGAAGTAAGAACCACAAAAATGAGAAAGCTTAATAACACTAACTCAATTAATAATGCATTAAACGAGGTTTCCCTGCCTGCTCTGCGCACTCCAGCAGGGAGCCCGGCTACCTAACCGTGCAGGCTGGTGGCCAGCACCTCTTGACCATGTGCCCAAGCAGCACTGCCTCAGCCTCGGCTAGGTGACAGGAGCAGCAGCACGGGGGCTCGGGCCCAGTGGGTTCAGTGGCTTCAGGGCCTCCTCGTTAATCAGTACCTGCTCGTCAGGAGCTGGAACAGTCCTTTCTAGCCACACGACACCCGCTTCAGAGCCTCACTAGTGATGGGAGGGGGGCGGGCAGCGAGAGGGGATGCGTTGCCATCGCGCGGTGGCGAAGCAACAGCCAGCAGCGCTAATAAGCTCAGCAGCAGAGCAGCCGAGGGGACTGCAGCTGTCGCTGGTGAACTGGGCTCTTTGGTTTTGTTTGGCTGTCTCCAGAGAGCTCTGCAAACGTATCGAATTAGCCAGTGTTTTTGGCTTATCCTGTGACACAGAAAGGAAACAAAAATGTCCTGGACCTTCCTCCTCTCCGACCGCAGCTCCTGAGCCTCAACTCTAGCAAGAGATGCCCTCACTGCAAACACGCCAGGTGCCTGTCGGAAACCAGTGTAGGCGCACACCTGACCTGTCACACTCCTCCACGCACTGTGACCAGCAAGCCTATAGCAAGAGTGGCTCCTGTGTTGCTGGGCAGTGGGACACGCCACACACTGGTCCCAGTACACAGGCAGCCTGGAGCACCCCATTCAACACCTCTCTCCTCCTCAAGGAGCTGCACGCCGTTGCTGGTTGTGTGTGACCCCCTCAGCTAATGCTGCTCCCAGTGATCCGCTTGTTCAGATGTTCCTCCAGCACATGCTCCTCCCTTGCTCCCCACAGCATTTTCCTCCCACGCTGCAATCTCATGCCAGCTCATTTTGTGTCCTGCTGATGTGCCAGACGTGCTGACAACTGCCAGGTTGTTGCTGCATCCCACCTCTGAGATCTGGTGTGCAGACCTGCGGAGGTCCTGCCCGGAAGATGCCCTCACTAGGGGTGCCCTGGCACTGCTCTGGCACTGACGGAGATGTGCCAGTGCTGCCCACCCCACAGCAGCCAGGGCTGAGCCAAACAGCTGTGAACCGTAACAGGAAAGGCTTTTCCCACCCTCCCACCTAGACACAATGGGTTTACATCAGAAATGGCCCTTCAAAACTCTCCTTTTAGATGAAAGCTCTTAGACGAATGAGCAGCAGGAGGAAAAGGAAAGTAGGTTACAGTCCAGGAGGAGCTGCAAGTTGGAAGAGAGCTGTAAGCGTTTCATTTACTGCTGAACTGCCCCCACCATCACAAAAGCCCAAGTGCTCCTCTACTTAATCTAGGACTTGCGCGCTCTGAAAGGCTCCGAACGAGCCTGGGCGAGCTGGTCTCTGATCGCTACCGTGACAGGCACTGTGCTTTCAGTGCCATCACAGACTACAGACGCAAAGCAGCAGCACGAGACCTTTCTGCAGCGGGCCCCCCCCCCCCCCCCCCCAGCCAGTGGGCCAGCTACACACCTGCGGCACCACAGGGCAGCGTGGGCATGACCGAGACGCTCGACAGCGAGCAGTCGCGTGCAGAAAGCAAGGGCCATTACCAAACCGTCGACCTCTGCACTGAGACCACCGCGACCAGCTTTCACTGGGCCCAGCACTGACAGGGGAGCAGTGTGGGCTGCTCTCCCTCCCCGCTTGGGCTGAGCAGAACCGGCCAGGCTGCGCACTGAAGATCCCAGGACTACGCTGCTGGGATACCCTGGGTGCCAGAAGGCTCCTGGCGCCTCCCTGACCTCTCCGGGCACAGCCCCTGCGGACAGCACTCAGCACCGAGCCCGGCACGGGCCCTGGCCAAGGCAGCGCAGCGCTGGGCAGCGATCGAGGAGTCCGCCCCGAAGCTATCCCGTGCGGACGCTGCTCCC